CTGCATTTTCTTAGAATGTAGTGACTAATTATTATTTTTTCAATCTAAGAAACTATGTTTTTATCTTTGTAAAACTTATTTTAATATCGCGTGAAGTAATTTAATAAACTGTGCTACTAAATGAATAAATCCAAGAAACTAAGTAAATAAGAATAAAAAAATGATTTAAAAAATAGACGATAATAAAAGTAGACCTGTTTTGAGCGTCCTATAATTAACGTCACAAATCATTCACACCTGTCGAATCTTGAGAACGGGTGCCTATTTTTAAATGTTCGAAACATGTCGACTTTTATTTCCCTCTTCATATTTTTTGAATCCAATGAAGTTTTTATCATCAATTATACTATTTTAAATTTGGGTATTGATTATTATTTTGATAAGGATTTTATGCCCGTCGAAGTAAACATATCCATTTTAATATTTTAACAGGATTCATGTGGTCTTTAAAAAAGTAAGAGCACTGTAGCATCAATATTATAACTATGACGTTATCTTTAACTTTAAAATTTTACGACTAGATATTTTGAGTTAATGAAATTGAATATTTTATCTTTTAAATTTTTGTGCCACCAGAGGAACCTTACGAACTCTGTTTTAAAGGAGAGAATCGTATCAGATATATGTAAGAAAACAAAAATAATCATAGTAGCAGTAGGGGGTAAATCCAGCTTTTCGTAATTGAAGAACATGTTGTGCAAATGCTGAATTTGCGGCAATCGGTGTCAGAATGTATCGAAACATTAGGATGCTATTTGCAAATCACCTTAATCCAAAGAAAACCATGTAACCTAAATATCTGGCAGAGGTAAGCGATTTTTTAAACAATGAATCCTATCCAATATGCAACATATTATTCTTAAAGATAGCATATTTCAATGTTTTTAAAATGCCACTTAACAATCAGCGATTCCATCAGTTACAGAAAAAAGAAATATCGTAAATCGTATAAAACCTTGTGAATGTGCATTAGAATTACTATACAATCTACATTTTTTTTCAGGCACTTTATTTGTTCCTTTTAACTTTCTGGCCTAAAAGACTCGATGAAAGTTGTAAAAATTATTAACCCCAAAATTTTGTATATAGTTATAAAAAGTTATGTAAATTTGATTTTAGTTTGAAATCCTCGTATAAGTGAAGTAAAAACAACGTGAAAAACCCAAATAATGTCAGATAAAAAGTTCATGCATTCAAGTTTTAAAATCTTAGAAAATCATAAATAATTTATAAATCGATTTTCCTTCCAATAGAAAAAAATCTTTAGTTTTTTGGTCAGAAATCAGCAGAAAAATCGTTTATTACCTAGAAACTTTGAGATATCTTCTATTTACATATAAACCTTCTCCAAGAAATAACAGAACATTATTTCAATTTTTTTATTGTCTGGGATTGGTTATTTAACAAAGGAGTAAAATTAGGTATTCCTCTCTTGAAGTAGCCTATGGGTTATCTTAAAATACTCATTTAAGGCGACGACTTTACTTCGCTGTTTTTTTCTTTAGACTATCGTAAAATATATACAACTAGTAAGTCTCCCAATATGTTCGAAATTTTGTCTACTCTCCACTTATTTCGAGGGTCAGGAATCCAAATATGCAAAAAGAAATATATGATTCAGAGAAAGAGCTTTATTGTGTCTGATTTCATAACTTAATTAATAGTTAGTACTAATTAATTAGCATATTTGAAGTCACTCTCAGAAACCATTAAGATTGACACTCAGTACATGAAAATCCGATCATTAGGCGATTGTTATTCAGGGTAATATCTTTTTCATGCGCATCATTTGATTCATTGCAGTTAAAAAAAACGCCGGGTGCACTGACATACCTCATTTTGCATCTGAAAAATTTTCCATGACTGACTCAATGAAGGATCAAGCTCTACTTGTAAAGCTTTTTTTTTTTTTTACAAGAACGATTTTTGTGCGTCAGTAGCTCTGCAGAAGTTCTATAGACACTTAAGAGTGAAGTAAAAAGGCGTTTGGCCCGACGACTGTTGTGGGTCAGAAGAAAATGATTCAGAAATTCGATCAGACAGGTGCTTTTTTTTGAATCACGTGCAATAATGTAGAGGGAAAAGAAATGATTCAATACCAGTTGAAGTGACCACAGCATGGGGAATTGCACTTGGACATGCTTGTGAGCATGGGACATAAAATTATGTGATTAGAATCTATAGATAAGTAACCCTGAGTAGAAGTTGCTTCCTTGTTCACCTGCCAGCAAGTTTTTTGTTTAATTTCTAGTTCGGATGGCAGTGGACAATGAATGGCCTTGGAACATTTTGTGGACATAGGAAGGCCTATTTCCATCTGAAAAGATATGCCAACACACAGAATTGCCGAATTTAGGCCTCAGAAAATCCACAAATACGACTTCATTCTACAATAAATAGTAATAATCCTAGATCAAAAAGACGTTTCTATTCTTATTGAAATTTAACAAGATATTTTCTCTACACATTGCAAATCTTCACTGCAACATATCGGAAATGCTAGAATTGTTGGCCGTCCATACGTTTCACACTTTCTTCAATAATATTCTGTTCTACTTAAATCATTCTTTTCCATAGCAATCTTAAACTTATAATCTCCCCTTTATGTGACACAGTCATGGGTGCCACTCTAAAAAATCAGAACTCAGCTTTTGACTAATTAACACAGTCTAGAGCTGCTTACCAGAATTTTCAGAAATTTATAGCTATCTGACACCAAAATGCATCTTTTCATGATAATGACCCTTACATTAAATTGCTTATTCTTTCTAAAAAAAATACACTACTTTAGTTTACAGCAAACAAAAGAAAAATAGTTCATCTTGTATATCTTTTTTACACTAATCGCAGACTAAATTCACTGATCGACTTTTTCCTAAAGTCATTTATTTTTCATTTTACCATTATCTTTTATCAAAACTCTATTTTCTTCTTACAAGAATAAATAAATAAATAATCATAATTTTACTTTGGTTAGCATTTCAAAAGGTCAGGAGAAAGTGTAAACTAAATAGAATTTATATTCAACTATAGTAAAAATTTTATTTTCGCAAGCAAATGAAGATCAATCAATCCTAGTCTTTCACTGTGCAGTCATTATTACTTGATTATTTAGCTACAAATACAAAAAAAAAAAATGACGTTTCATTAAAATTTATTAATCTTCAACAGAAAATATTTCTCACAATTTAAAAAAAATAAAAGAAATTTTAAATTAAAAACAATCGGGAGAGAAATATTGAAGAAATTCAGTCCACTGATTTTTTTCACCCCAGGACTGAAGAGTAAATGCAGGGATAGTAGTTATCGACAATATCAACCCTAATCTATGAAAAGGTACCCCAACATAAAATTGAGTTAATATGCCTCCTATTCCAGTGAATTGGAATTGTAGTGGTAGATACACTACATGGCACCCACAAACACAACTAGGATTTAATAGATCAAGATGGATTTATTAGATAAACAAAGATGGATACTTAGTATCCATCTTTGATCATCACAAATCTATAGATTTTTGAATGACAATTTTAAGCATGTAAAAACCAGAAGGAAAAAAACAGTATACTCTCATAGGCAGGGCCCCGATTATAATCTGAAAATAGGGGAAACATAATAGGATTTTGGGGCCCCCCTAACTTGAGCAAAAGAAACTTTTGATATTTTTCGCCCATAAACAATATATTTTAAAGAGACAAGAACCATGTGAAAACTATTAGAACCTTAGAAAGGAATACAGAGATCTTATGCAATCATGTCAGACCCTTCTTTACGTATTTCTTTTGCAAAAAATAAGCATTTGGGCCCCCTCCCCCTAGAATTTTACTCAGTAATCAGGCCCTGCTCATAGGAGCATAAGTCAAGTATTAGCGAATAAGTGATTTGAAGATTATTATTTGCCAGCATGAAACGTAATTAACATGTTATTGACTTTTAGTTTTTTATTCTTCACCTTTATTAACTTTTAAGCTGCTGATAAAATAGGAAAAAAAAAAAATCTGAATAACACTAAATGATACAAATTTTATTCAAACCATAGCACATAAAATAATTAGATAATATTGAGAACTACTAAACCCATCAAAAATAAATATAATACTAAATACAAGAAATATAATGCATTAATAAAAACAAATTTATATTGTAATATTTACTGTCATGAATAGACACTAGAATACATGTAAATTCTCTTATGTGTGTTATATTCATAGAATTGAATAGTCAGGGCTGTCACTCTTGGGAAAAATTCCACATTTTCTCTGTACATATTATACACAATATATTAAGAGGAAACACTACAATTACTGTGCTCTTGTGTGAGCTATATTGGGCTAACTATATTTATTAGTTTTAATTGATGGAAAAACTCAAGAGGAAAAAGAAACAGCTGAACATACTTAAATAATGCTACATAGCAAATGAAATATTTTAGTATAGCCGAAATATAAACATCCCATAGATTACGCTTTGAGTGACCATTTTTTAAAAGACTAAAATAAAACAATATTCTAGATTTTACCCAGTTTGTAAAGAAATCAAAAATTCCCTGTTATTTTAGGTAATTTTAAAATTCCCTGAATATTTCAGGTTTTTCTTATAGAGTGGCAACCCTGATAGTACTTCATTGAAATTAGGTTGGTATCCTATTTAAAAAAATAAGCTGATTTTTGTTCTTTTTTTTTTTACTAAATTTTTTTCAAGTGCATTAGAATTTTTGATCATTGGATTTAAGCATGGGTGCAAGTTGGAAAAAAGGCCAAGACTGAAAATTTTTTGACAGAAATACCAAACATGCACAATAACCCCTCCCCCCGACANAAACCCCCCCCCCCCCCCCCGACATATGCAAAATATCTAAGAAAGCTTTACCATAATACACCAAGTTTAAATACTGAACAAAAAATATTTATTCATTTCTCTTTTGATAAAATAACAACAGGACAAAAGAAAGTAGACCAATAACGTAGACCTAAAAAATATTTTTAAGTAGTAGAGAGTAGACCTAAAAATATTTTTAAGGACAAAAAAAAAAAATTCCGATTTCCATCTTCGAGTCAGTCTTGTTTCCGTCTGCGGACATTTTCGAAAGACGGAAATCAGTCCTGGGGACAGAAGACTTGCACCCATGGATTTAACCCTGAGAAACTGGGAACACCAAGTACAATTAGCCTAAATAACACTAAAGCATGTTTAAGAATAATTCTTTCTCCTCTACCACTACATGTTTTTTATTTTTGCAACACTAAATTTTGTGAATTACTAGTACAGCTACTCTTATTTTGAACCTAAATAACTTAAAAACATGTTAAATTTTTTTTTCTTCTCTACCACTATATTTGAGGTTCTTTTGCAACACTACATCTTGTGCATAACTGGTACAGTTACTCTTATTTTGTACCTAGATCAACAATAGGAAGGATCACATTACAAAGTTATTAACAAAACAGTCAAGATTTTTTAGCAATAACACTCATTAACAATTCTTGCAGAGTATTTCTTTCTTTTTCTAGTTCTTCTGCGAGTGATGATAACTCTTTGTTTTCTTTTTCAAGCTCTTTAAGCCTTTCAACCATCTTAGAGTTTATCTGCTTGCGCGTTTTCCTAGATTTTTGTGAGGCAATATTGTTCTTTTTTCTCATTTCTAGATATTTCCTCCCGGCAACACTCTCTCCGATTTCACTCCCTCCAGACTCTTGAAGTAGATCATCGTCCAGAGAATTTCTTTCGTCCAGCAAATCAAACAATGTGTTTGTTGTCGAAGAAACCTCTGAAGTTCCAGAAACCTAGAATAGAGCAATAAATTAATGCATGGAATAAAAACAGAAAACCTTTTTTTTTTACCATCCTAATAAAAACATAAAACCTTTTTTTTTACCATCCTAATAAAAACATAAAACCTTTTTTTTTTATAACCCTATCACTTAAAAAAATAATTATTGAATTATTCTAATTAGAAGATTCGACATAAATATTAATATAAGCTAATACTGTACAGAACCCGTTATCCGGAAATCAGAAAAAAATTCAATATATTTTCCCGCCATTTTTAAAAAAAAAAAATTTATTTTTTCCTCATAAGATTTTTCATTCTTTTTTGAAAGATGTTTACCTTACCATCATTTTGGAAATAATCATTAGTATATTACTTCATCTTTTTTCCTTCTGTTTATGATCATATTCAAATATTTTTTTTAAAGTTGGGTTTAACAATAAAAAAAATGGCTTTTTGTAGAAAACCGGAAAAAATGAGTTATCTGGAATAACGATGGTCCCGGATAATCGGCTCCCTACTGTAATGAGATTTCTTTGGCTTAGCAGTTTCTATGATGACTTTTTGATTGAGTAATCTCAAGCTATCATTTGCTTCTTTAGATATCCTTTATTCATCCTCAAAAAAGTGTTTTAATGTGAATTTCTGCGATTTGAATTTTTATTCTTTGAACTTTAAGAGTTTATTTTGAGGGTGTAATAAATATTTTAAAACTTATTAAATTCCAGAGGAAAATAAATGGAAATGAAATAGAAATTACACCTTTTGGATTTCAGTATTTTGGAATGTAAGCAAACACATAATTATAACTTTATTTTGAAATTTTTAGTATGTTATTTAATTTTAGGACACATGAGAAAAGAACTGCACATGAAGGTTGGCAAGTAATTGGGGTTTTGGACACCCTAAACTGGTTTTGAATAGGACACGTGGTGGGTTTACAGTCTTTGACTAAAACTGTCTTAAAGTGTCCAAAACCTTGAAAATTGTTAAAGGTAAAAATTCTATATTTGTAACCATTGTACACATAATAATTACATATATTAATAAATATTTGATACTTTTTATACAATTTGCTTTAATTTATTAAAAGAAAATAATATAATAGGAAAAGAGAATAACTTTTAAAGCTTCACAATTTAATGAACAACAAAAGTGAATACCTTATCCTTTAAATACAAATAAATATGCTTTTAATACTTATAGATTATGTTTTGAAATTACATGAATTACTAATTACTGAAATTACTAAAAACTGTTATACTTAGCATCTTCATATTTATAGATTTTAAACTTAAACAATAAAGAAAGAGTTGAAGATATATAGTAAAACATTTAAGAAAAAAAATTTATTTTTACAAAAACAAAACCTTGTTTTCATCCTGTTTTTTGTTTAAAAATTAACTTTTTATCTTTCAAAATATTTTTTTAAGAATTGTGATATAATTTGAATAAAAAGGGATTTGGACAGATCTGTTTAAATTGTGGATTAATTTCATTTTGTCCTAAATCTAGCCAACTCTGGCAAAAACTATATGTAAGAGAATTAAGATTTCTTTGGAATCACTCTAAGATAATATATAGTTTTGAACTTCAAATTTATTTTGGAATAACTGAATAGCAAAGTTGCTTTTTTCTTTCTTTCTAAATAATGAGTATAAATCTACATCAATATCTTGATTTATTTGCTGATCTAAGCATACATAATGGTTTTCACTGTTAAAAATAAATTAAAACTAACCATGATAAGCTTGAAGAGAAGTTTCCAATCAAAGAAAAACAAAATTGTTAATAAAAACATATTTCACTAATAAACTTAAACCTGCACGCGATAGTCATTCAGAGAAAAATCTTTTCAAGAGAGGTCTTTTCTACGAGAGTCCCAAATATATTTACCTCAAAACTGTCATTCTTCGGAAGTTGTGCACTATCAACGAAAGTTCCCAAATCGTATGAGAGCTCTTTGCCAAGGATATCAGCTTCCATAAAAATCAGATCACCTTGAATAGTGGTATTATTTAAATATTGAGACAATTCACTGTCAGGAATAGCAGTGTTCATATTTAATAAAGAAACATCCATGGCCTTTTCTGCCATCACATCTCCCTTCAGATCTAAATTCATGCTTGTGTTATTAACAGTTGAATCACTTATCTCAGTAAAAGAATCAAGAAATTTGAAGTCCATAAATTCTTGACTTAGAAAACACTGATCACCCAAATGATCCGAGAAATTTCCAAACTCTAAATCTATAAAAAAGGGCAAAAATTAATAATAAACATATAAAAACAAAGAATATGATTTTAACATTGCAAGATAATAAAAAAATTCTAATAATAAAAATTCTGAAATCACAGAAGTTTAAAAGATAATTCGATATAGAAATGCTTTTTCTTCAATTTCTTTGAAAGAACACCATAATTTTTAAAGAACATGATGAAAAGTTTTTATATTTTAGCAAAATAAAACTGTGAGTGGAGATCTTAATAAAAACTCAGATGAAATTGGGTGGTGAGGGCGGGAATTCCATTTAAAAATGAGATTTTTCAGCTACCTAACTCCATGACTGTCCAGGTGGGCAGACACCCTGTTTATTTCATGTATATGAAAGTTTTTAGTGCGAATTCCTCGCACTTTGGAAAAAGCTTCGAATTACGCCATTTAGAATAAGATCCGTTTCACTTTTCTTCCTGGATCTTTCATTATTTTCAACATCTGACCCGTTATCTAGCTTCCCTATTTACCAGTATTGTTCAGAACCTTTTCAAACAACTACAGAACCCCTTTCTCTGTAATCACGTGTTTACCGTAGGTAAGGTTTCTTCATGCAAGACGTTAAAATTTTTTATGTGCTAATGTAAGATGGACAAATACCTTGTAAAGGCAAAATCTTCTATGATGATGCACCAAAAATATTCAATGCTTTAAAAAAATAGAAGGCGTTAAAAATGTATTATAATTAAAAAAAAGATTTTTTTTCACGAGTTTGTGTTTTTTTAGATTTTAGAAATCTCACTTAACTTCTTGAAATCTCATCCTGTTTTTGAGAAAGGGTGAGAAATTCTCACCCACTTTTTTTTAATGATGAATACACTGTATAATAACTTATTAAAACATAACTTTGATGGCTAGAAGATAACTAAGCTGCAAAATCATGGGGGAAAAATGAATAAGGCATAAACAGGAATAAAAAATTAAAACATTTTGATTACCTTTATCACCCTGGCTGAGTATATCTTCTATTGAAAACATGCTTGACAGCGCATTTGTTTCTGCTGAAACACTTGTGGTGTCCACCCCAAAGGGTGGACATCTGACTCCTTGTAAACTGCTGCTTATCTTCTCCGCACATTGACACACAGTTGTAAGACATTGCAAGCACTACCAACAAAACATAGATTTAGAACAAATTAGAGAGTCCAGAGTATCAAATATTTTAATAAATAGAGGGGAAAAAAAGTACCTGATTTTCAAACTCTTCTTCAAAAAATAATATGGTCCTTACACACCTGCACTAGATAGCAAAAATATCTACTTTCACCTGAAATTAAACTTTAGATTAGAGATTCGAAACTTTGTCAGCCGAATTCAGTTATCAACTATAGAAAGAAGATATTTAATTTAAGACTAACTATGGAAAGAAGATTAAGATCCAGATTTCTTATATCCTTCTTGATATTAAAAATCTGGAGTTAGTTGACAACTTTGCAGGGGGATATTTCGGGATCTGTGCCGCCAACTACAATCGCCAAGATGCCAAATAGATTTTAAACTTGCAAATAAAAAAAACAAAACAAACATGAAGATGCTTGCCCCGGGGGTTGCTACGAGTTATACCTTTTGAGTTGGTCCCTTTCTGTGATGTCTTTTTTAGTTTGAAGTTTAGTTTCAAGACTTGGCGATTATTCTGCCACAGGTTACGATACGGAAATTTCCCCCTTAGCAGAAACTATACAGCTCAGCTCTTATTTATCAATAAATTTACTAACAAAAATGTTATCTCTTACTTAACAAAGGGTAAATGTCTAACTTAGACGATAAACGTTATATTACCTTAAAATCTCTAGACTAACAGTAAATAAAAAATTCCAGATAATTGATTTAAAATAAAGCTATATGACAAAAAAAAAAGGTTTTAAATCTTATTTACAACATACTAACATAAAACACTCGCTCATAAAACTGCTCTCAGACTAGCGCAAACAAAAAGTTGTTACGCCCCTCAAATGATTAGACATTTTATTGCTTTTAATGAGGAGGAGACATCAGATACGTAATAATAATGATAATGATGGAAAAACATTAAATAAAAAGGCTTTAATATATCTATGCATTTAAAAAAAAAGTCTTTCAAAAGTGATATCAAACCGATCTTAATATTATTTTCACGTTAAAAAAGAACAAAAATAATGATTACTTAATAACAGTTATTAATTCATAACTATAATGCTTACCTGTTAAAGAAAACGATTTAATCAGATGACTTCCACCCAATTAAGTTTTAAAAAGATGAATTTAATAGAAACTGAAGATCACTAGTTCACTGAAAATCTCGCAGATTATAACTTATTGAACTGATTCACAGATTGAAACTGATTATCATAAAATTTACGTTCTATTTATAAGTTTTACGGTGACGTCATTTTTAACCAATCAAAAATTAAGCTGATGATGTCATGATTTTATCTTATCAAAAAAAGTAGACGCGCGCATTGAAGAGAAAATGCAAAGGTGTAAAAAAAGTTGCGCACTGTAGTTGAGAGTATTATCAATGAATAATCTCTAAAATTATTTAATAAAGTTTCAAAAATAAAATCCTATTTAATTACACAAGCAGTGTGCATACACTCATACTTTGTTTTAATTAAAGGAAAAAAGAAATCGTTATTTTCAAAATTAAATAAATATGTAAGCGCACTGTCTTGAACGGCAGCCTGGCAGCCTTTTTTTATTGTTGCCAAAGTAAAAAGTATTATTCGTTTCCGTTTTGTTATTGTTTTTAGAAATTAACGGCAGCCTGGCAGCCTTTTCTTATTGTTGCCAAAGCAAAAAGTATTATTCGTTTCCGTTTTGTTATTGTTTTTAGAAATTCATATTATATATGAACAGATGTCTCGGGTAGATGAAAACAGTCATCCGGAAACGCTTGACATTAAACATAAACCTGTTCTATTGTTTTGACGTCAAGCAATAAGCTCTGACTGGTCGTCATCACTTTTAAAATTATTTCATTGCCATGGCCGAACGTCGAAAAAATAAAAAGAAAAAAGAGGTAAATAATATATTTATTTAAAATGATTTCAATTGTTTATAATGTAAATGTTGGCTATTTTGCTGTGTCGATGAACTTTATCCGTATGTGGTTAAATCTTTTTGAGACAGATTGGCTTGAGCAAATAATAAATGCAAATATTTTGTGCTTTGAAAAAAATTTATTTAATCGTGGATTCTTAAATATATTTTTTTTAAATATTATGAAGTTGTGTGAAATCTTTTATTACAAGTATATTTCAAAGATTTAATGACATTTTCTATTATGTCCAAAAATATTTCATAAATATTTCCTTATTTTAAGTACATTAAAGTGTAGAATCAGGTGCCCTTTGGATTGGGCTCGTTACCTTGGAACGTTTACTATATATAATCTTCGATTTTCTTATTATTTCTATCTAATTTTCTTATTGTTAAAAAATCTCTCTTTTAAGCAAGGTTTTTGACCTACCAACAAAACCAAAAAAAAATTTTTTTTTTCCTCTTAAAAAATAAACGAAATCTGCCCATTCTTATATATTATTATTTCTTGTGTGGCTTATCAATAATGATACATAATATACTAGCAAATGTAACCCTACTTTTAAAACTTAATTTATTTAGATAAATATTTATGTAACTTTGAATTAATAAAATTTATTTTTGCTTCAATGTTAAGAAAAAAGCATTTTTTGTAAAAACAATCTCAACCTTTCTAATGTGTTCGTTTTGAATTGAACAGGTGCAGAGAACAGGCTGGACTAACACTTGGTCTTTCTTTTCCATTCATAATAAACAATTTTTCAAAAAACGAATAAAATAAGAATTTATAATAAATATTACAAAATATTGAAAATTGAAGTTTTTTATTATTTTTAAAAGTATATTTGTTTTATAAAAGACAAATATTTAATTGAAATATCTTTTTAGCATTGTGAAATCTTGGATAAACGGACTCTCATGAGGCAGAAAAAATGGTCTGTTTCAGAGAGTTGGTTGTTTGCGGGGAGAGTACACTAATAACAAAGTTCAAAGCCGTAATTTGCATTTAGAATAATTGCAATGTTATATAAGTAATTAAATAATCTACGGTCTTTTTCTATTTTGCCGCCATTAAAGAACCCACGTCAAGGTTACAGGGTGCAAGTAAATTCAATTAATTTTACTTATCTTTTATTATTTTTATTTTTTAGATGACAAATATTTTTTTGGAAGAATAAAGAAATAATTAAATAGCTAAATTTGCTTGAAAACGAACGACGACTTGCTTGAAACTTGATGACGAAATGCAAAAGTACTTTATCTATGATAACTATATTTAATTTTTTACAAATTTATTTGCTCAAAAATGTAGTTAGTATCTTTAGGTTCAGTAGCAGATATTGGTCCCCAGCCCTCAAGACTTCTGAATAGGTGATATTTCTATATCTGTATCCCCAGAAGCAGAAAGTGCCTAAAACTGTGACGCACGTCGCAGAACAAACGAAGTCCTGCAGAACAATTTGTATCTTGAATAAGTGACAGCGTTTTCCTGCGAAAAGGCTGTCACTTATTGAAGATACAGATAGTCAAGTTTTTTTTAAATGATATTTGAGAAAGTAACAAATCAAGAATGTTTGCTTTGGTTTAAAAAATAATGCAGCGTATCTGTGTATGATCCTGCATTTTAATTAATGAAAATATAGTATTTTATTTAACGTAAAGTTGACTTTTTTTGACGCCGTGAAATTCTTGCATAACATTTGTATAATTAATAAGTCCTGTTGCAGAACATTTGAAAATATTCTGCTTATGGGTCTGTATCTGTCTTTGCCAGCTGAATTTGCCCTGTTGTTTAACATTAAATTATATAAAAATCATGCTAGTTTGCCCCAAGCGGGTTGCGAGTTCCACCTATAGATAGCTCTTCTTTTTGGTGCAGGAGCCAATATGAATATCTTCACGAGAACTATCTGTCTTTTTCATTTTCCAGTTACATTTTAGCAGTCCACTTGTGTTATCAAACACTGTGGAGTATTTTCTGTATTATTCAATGTATTCATCATAAATTGATTAAAGAGAATGTGTTGTATATTATTTTTGCAGGTGGATGTTAAGTTGGATGATAAACCTTCCAAAGAAGAATATGCTGTTGCAAAGTACTTAAAACAGACTCTTCCAGAAAAGAAAACTACATTATTAGGTCACAAAGTTGAATATTTTATAGGTAATAAAAATTATTTCTTTACTTTAATAATGTTTTGAAATAATTTTGACTTTTGGCATTAATTATAGTTTTAATAAATAATAAAATTAATAATTACTGCCATTTAGAATTTAAAAGAAATCTTTACGCCACAAAGTTGAATATTTTATAAGTTATAGGAGTTTAAAAAATCACCAGCCTACCATAGTTACATAATAATGTTAGTTTTAAACTAATTTTAACTATTTCAAGTTTGCAATATCTGTTGTTATTTCTTTTATTTTTTTACTTCAAATATTTGATGTTTAATATTAAATTTTTAAACTTTGTTTTTAGTGCTTAAAAGTACAATACTCTATCATCACTGTATTATTAATTTATATTTAGAGTTCCGCTATTATGTTAAATAATATAGAAATATTTTACTATCTGTTAATATTTGCTAAGCATCAGTTGCATTTAAATAATTACCGTACTACTGGTACCCCTAGTTGCATAATTTATGAAACTAATCTACAGCACTATCTTCCAGAAATTTATCTTAACACAGTCAGACGGAGATTATTATTATACGAAATTTAGCATAATCAAACATAGGAATCAGAAATAAAACTATACTGAAACGAATCCCTATACAGTAAATCCTGCAATCAAATAATTCAGGTTTTTAATTCTTATTAAAAACAAGTTTAGAAAAGTTTTAAGAAGGAGTTTTGATAATATTTCCCCATTCGTTTGCTTGTTTTTTTAAAAATAAACATAAAACTTTGTGAGAAATAATATGCAGCGAAATTTAGACTGTTTTCACTATCTGGCTGTGTTCTGGAGAGTTTCTACTATGGGGCTGGTACTGTATTAATAAGTGCGTGGAATATTTGTATAGGTTCGGAGGTACTAAGTTTTTTACATCCTTTCAGAATGAGTGAAACCAAATAAAATAACATTTTGTAAATACAAATGAAAATAATCTTATGTTTTGTAAGCGACACTGATACAAAGATTAATGTTTTTAGCGTTTGTAAACATCAATTATGGATGGTTGACTGAATGTGAACAATAACAAGCTTTCAAAAACCGGAAGAAATTTAGAAAACTTCCGATGTATCCCATCGCTTATGTTATGCTTACAAGGCGATGCATGAACAGGCTTGATATTCTAGAAAGTTTTATTATTTTACTTTGTGTTTAAATTCACAAGTAATTTCACCATTCATAGGAGTTTTCTGTCATTTATAGATTCTAAAAGGTTGTTAGCCGTAAATAAATATGAGAAAGTTAACATCACAACGTAATGTAAGGTTTACCATGTTTTGACCTTTATCTATATTTTTGTAAAATGTCAGCGTTAGTTATTTTTTGGGTAGGATCATACTCTTGTTTGCGGAGTCTTTCGAATTAGTTTCCTGTTTGTATCACTGACAGTTAAATCGAAAGAACATGTTATATTGTAAACACTACAAGTATAATAATATTGGATGGCCGTTTTTTTAATCTTAGGCTTAATAAATTAGTTACCCAGAAGTCTGGAAGTGAATTTTAACCCCTAGTTCCACCTGGGCTTAGCTTTATACAGTCAACCACCCATAGCAATAACGGTTAAAAAATTGTCTGCCAGTATCCTCTCGATCACTACATTTTTCATCAAAAATGCACTCTGTGTGCATTTTTTTAATTATTTTTTAAAAATAAATATAGAATAATTATGAATATTTCATAATATTTTGAAAATTACTTATTTCACGCTTGTTTCTTAAAAAAATTTCTTCATTTTAGAAGTAAACCTTTTAATGTTCACCATATTATGGGGAATGCTACGAAATAAATGCCTTATATTATCAATATGAACAGTATTTTTAAATATTTAAAATTTTCAATTTTTGAAAAAGTAACCGTATGGTTTACAAAATAGTCACTGTTAAAAGAGCTACCACAGCCCACTGGGCAGTAGGAAAATGTCCTAATTTTGCACTGAAGTCCCCTCATGATGCAGGTGTTCATTGTTTGCTATTAAGAACAAAGTTATTAGTTACTACCTAGGTTGGTTAAAAACCCTGCACTTAATGCAATTTATGTGAAAAATACTCTAAAGTTATTCAGGGTGTGTAGTGTTTTTTAAAATGCTTAAAGGTGCTTATTTTTTATTTACTTTTTTAAAAGCCCTTAAAGGTTCTTTTTTTAGTTGGAGGTTTGTAAAAATGCTTAATTTTCCGTCTTTCAAAATAAGATTTTTTCTTTGCAGTTTCGATCATCACCATAAATTGCAAAAAGAAAAAAACTTGATTTTTACAATTTTCTCTGCAGTTTTTTTGAGAAACTAGTTATTTTTCCATGATTATGTAAAGTCTTAGAAATTTTTTTTGCCTTTTTATTATATGCATATGTATAATATGTTTGATGTAGTATTGTACTCATATAAATGGAGGTCTTTAAACAATAAGAAATAGTTTTTATAATTGCATGTATCCTGATTATGATTTTTTTTTGTTTTTGAAAAGTTGTAAAAAATATTTTTGAGTGTTAAAAAAGTGCTTAAATTGTGCTTATTATTATTATTTTTTGAAAAACCTGTCTACACACCCTGTTATTGTTATCTGATGTATTACAGTATACATAATTTGAAAAATAAAGTTTTGACAAATTTCTTTTTTATTTCAAATAGAATATTTTTCATCTTTTGATTACAATGTTCAAATTTATTATTTTTTCAATGGTTAAGATGGTAACCAGAATGTTAAGAATNGTTTTTATAATTGCATGCATCTTAATTATGATTATTATTATTTTTTTTGAAAAGTTGTAAAAAATATTTTTGAGTGTTAAAAAAGTGCTTAAATTGTGCTTATTATTATTATTATTATTATTGTTTGAAAAACCTGTCTACACACCCTGTTATTGTTATCTGATGTATTACAGTATACATAATTTGAAAAATAAAGTTTTGACAAATTTCTTTTTTATTTCAAATAGAATATTTTTCATCTTTTGATTACAATGTTCAAATTTATTATTTTTTTGGTTTATTAGTTTTTCAATGGTTAAGATGGTAACCAGAATGTTAAGAATTATAAATTTTTCTTTCAGGTTCTAAAGCTGTTGACTGTTTAGCTGACTCACAATGGGCTAAAGAAAACAAAAAAGGAGAATTAAATTTTTCAAATAGAGATATTGCTGTTGATTTCATGGCCAGGTATGTTTGTAAATTTTTGGTTATTTATTTTTTATTGAAATTATAGTTTATAAATGTGTGATCTGTTTGATTGAATTACTATGTTTATGTGTATATTTAGGACTAGACTAGGATCTTGATTACTGTTTTGGTTTTCTATTTTACAGAAAGAATTTCTAAATAATTATAATTCAGTTTTTTACTAAACAAATATTGAAGAATGTAATTTACTTATTTATTTTTTGAATTACAAAAGTATAACATTTCAAAAATTCCTACATTTTTTTTTTCCTAATTGTTTCATTCACTTTTTTGTTCAACATATATTGACCTTATTTTGAAGTGTGCTGTTTTATTTTAAAGAAAATTAGATTATGGTTTATAAATAAATTCATAACTATAAATTATGAAACTATAGTTTACAGTATGCCAAAGAAAATATTGTTTACTATGGTTTTAAACTTTTAGTATTATAATTAAAATGGTGCTAAATGAAAATGGAATTTCATATGACTTATAAATATTTTAAGAGTAAATTATTCTGAATTGATAATTGCGAATATCAATTAAAAGTAATTAGAAAAGGAATAGTAATGTCCAAATAAAAACTTAAATTAAGTAGTATGTAACATTGCTGTTTGTTTAACATAACCTAGTTGATCTGTCGTAATGATCCAATTGATTTCCTATGTTGGCATAATAAATAACCATTCATCTAAACTGAAGTACAAAATGCAACTAAAGATACACATAGATGGCTCAACTGTAATACTTGTGAGAAAAATAATAAAATTAAAACAATACTACTCACCCTTTCATTTCCTATGAGAAGTTGAAGACTGGCTGTTCAAAAGCAAATTGACCATGAAAAAAACTAAGTAAATGATTTGTCTCATTGCCTATTTGTTTAAATTTATACAATGTAGCATAATTTTGTGTAAAATTTGAATCAACAAAACATGTTGTGATGTCAGACGACGTCACCATCTGTCATTATTAACAAAACATTGACTACAGTCGTAGTTGCTGAACAGCGGCGCTGCCTCACCAATCCAGATAGTACATAAACACGTTACTAATAGATATTCATCAATAATCTTTATTACTTAATACTAGCATGTTATTTGTTATCTTTTGTTGCTTTATTAAATATATATTTTAAGTTTATCATGTTCCGTATTTGGAATACTTCGTCAAGGATACACACAGTCAAACACGCTTGAATGCTATGCTGTTTTAAATTATTAACAGTCAAATACTATTTTAAATTTATTACAAATACATTTAAATTGCAAAATGAACATAGAATTAATCCAAGTTATTTTTATGTAACAAATTTATTTAAGCATTTAAAATTCAAGTAAATTTAAAATTAAATTTAATTGATGTTAAAGAAAATTACAAATAATATGTAATATGCAAATTTTAAATTTACAAAAAAGTAATATACAAATATAAATAATTTGTAATATACTACTGTATATTACAAATTATTTATATTTATATTACAATTTATTTGTAATATAATTATAATTTGTAATATGCAAATATTAAATTGTAATATCCAAATTAATTAAAAAAAGTACAGTTTTTTTTCTTCTTAATATTCTAGACTTCTGGAGCATAAGTTTTTTCATAGAGCAAAGAAAATAGTTGTACAAAAAGAACCAAAGAAAAAGAAAAAAGAAGTTGAAGAAGCTGCTCAGGACTCCGGTGTTGAAAAAGAAAAGGAATCTAAAAAGTCATCCAAGAAAGCAAAATCTGATAATGTTGAAAAAGTAGAGGAGAAAGATACTCCTAAAGTATAAAATCAATTTATTTATTTAAGATTAAGATGTCTTTTGTCTTTTTAATGTGTTTATATATCCAATATAACTTAAGTTGAAAGTTCGCTCATTTTACAAATAAGGATAAAAGCATTTTAGTATTTTTTTAATAGATTTTTTTTATTGATTTGAGAACATTCAATTGCTTGAAAATAAAACTTTGTTCAATTAAAGATTAAAAAGGCTTTCTTCCATCAAACTAATGTTATAAAAACTTTCTATAGTGTCCAGCTTCTATTAAAATCTTGTTTGTTCTGAGATATCTTATTTTAGAAGGCAATTTATTTCATATATCTGAATATCTAGACTTTGTAGAAAAGTGCTTCTTTTAATAAATTACTTTGCTATTCCCATTTATTGTGCAAACATTAATGTTTCTATTTTGAATTATAAAATTATTTTTCTACCTGTTTTAGGAATTTTTTTTAAATAATTTATTTTATTCAAGGAATACAACTGTATCCTGCTCTATAAATACTCCTATTTTAGAAGGCAATTTATTTTATAAATATGAATGTTTACACTTTGTAGAAAAGTGTTTCTTTTAATAAATTACTTTGCTATTCCCCATTTATTGCTCAAACATTAATGTTTCTATTTTGGATTATAAAACTGTCTTTCTAACTGTTTTAAACATTTTTTTAAATAATTAATTTTATTCGAAGAATATGACTGTATCCTGCTGTAATAAATACCAATATTAAGAAATTCTTAATGTAGTGAAAATTTTCTTGCAGGAAAAAGATATTGTTGAGAAGAAAAAGGAAAAGAAGAAAATAAAGTTAGATATGCACTTAGAACAGTTTTTCATCGATAGCAATGAGGTTAGTTTTTGATTTTGTCAAGATGTTAAAATTTAATAGATATTAAATGTTTACCCCCTTTCAACTAATTACTCTTTTGGTGTCGGTAGCAGCTGGAATTTAATTATTTGTATTGACTATGACTTGACTATTGCATTGACTATGACGCATTCATTGACTATCCAAAACTGAAAACAATTTTTCTTCTAATGCTTTCAGATCTGCGGTTTCAAAGCCTTGAAACTCATGAAAATTTTTTTTTTAAGATTTTGGATAAACACACTTACAAAATTAACTTTTATTTATACATATGAGGGCCATGGCCTCTGTATATCTACATCTTAGGTTCAGGGTATCCGCGCACCTGGAAAGTCATGAAAAATCATGGAATGTCATGAATTTCGGTATTGAGCAAAATTTGTCATAAAATGTCATGATTTTAACTATTTATTTAAGAAAATCATGGCAAGTCATGGATTTAGGTCGCTGACAAGTCTAGTTTTTAAAATGGAATTTAAAAATTACCCCACCCCCCATTTCATGTTGTTCCGAATATCTGAATTTGTAATAAAATGTTTTATCATGTTCTTTAAAAGTTATGGTGTTCTTTCAAAAAATGAAAGAAAAAACATCTTTTCTAAAGCAAATTATCTTTTAAACTTCTGTGATTTCAGAATTTTTGTTATTATTTTTATTTTATCAATTTAAAATTCTAGCTGAAGCAAGCTAGTTATTGGCGAATTTTTTTTAATTCCGAAATGAGAACAAAAAAATCAGGAGTATTTCTTTCCTTTCGGATGAACAAGAAAAGTATCTTTGGAATATAATTCTGCAGAAAAAAAATTTTTTGCTTTTGTATTTTTTTCAGTTCTTTTATTGCTTCAGCTCTTTCTTTGCTCTGTTTTTTTAAATTTAAAATTTTTAAATATGAAGATACAGAGTATAACAGTTTTGGTTATACCTATCATTTCAATTTATGTTATTATAATGCTTTTTTAAATTTCTTGTGTTTTTGTTAGAGAAAATAGTAACTTCGTTAAGTCATGAAAAATTCTAGGAATTAGTCATGGAAAGTCATGAATTTGAAAATCTAAAATGTAGCAGATACCCTGTAGATTTCTTTTTTTTCCTTTTCTTTTTGAACTACTTCCGGGTCAAAGCTATTAAGTAGGCACCAGCATCTCAGGAACAAAATATCCCCATAACCTTTGCAATATATATATATTTTTTAATTTCTGTTTATGGACTTTAAAAAAGCAAATTATATATACAGTGCACTCCTGATGATCCGGGTTAATCACCGGGACAGGTCGCACGGACAATAGAAAAACACGGATAATCCGAAAACTCCTTTTATTAAAGAAAAATTCAATATCAGTACAAAAAATATAAAAATTACTGACAATTGCATGCATAACATCAAACTAGGAATTTTCCTTATTAACAAATGTGTAATGCGTCTTCGCCATATATCGATACACATATTTTACGAACCGCAGTAACGTCACCGTAATCAAATCCTCCCATATAATCTAATAAAGTTTCCACAGAGCAGCAGAATGAGAAATTGTATTTCATTCATTTACTACATCTTCGGCATCAGTTACTATCATCACTATTTGATTTAACAACATAACGATGTCTTCATCAGTCAAATACTGGAAGCCAGGCTCACATGCATCACTTTGAAACCAATCTTCTAAATTTTCTTCATAAAGAATTTCAAAACCTTAGATTTCTTTTGCTTTTTCAAGAATACTGTATCATATTTTTCTTGAACATCTGAAGAGGATTGTTCATCAAGCGTTATTATTTTTCTCCACGATCAGGATAACGTAGATGATTTTCCATATCATCCATAACGTAGACGATTTGTTCCATATGCTGCAATCCAATAACGAATATTGCTTCCCAAAAATTTGGTAGTGTTATAACTTCATGAATCAAATTTTTTTAATCTTGAAAATGTTTCTCTTTATATTTTTTGTGTGACTCTGGAATGAGCACGGATAATTCGCAAACCGGATAATCGAGAGTGTACTGTACTTAATATTCATTCTTTAATTTTGAATTTAACTTCATCAGGCAGTTTTATTCATTGAGAATCTTTTTGCATTTAATTTGTTATTCCTTTTCTTTTGATTATTAAAATAGTTTAGTTGACTTTTGTGTTAATTTTGCCTACGCATCACATTATGTATGTTTAGATTTTACAATGCATTAAAAACCATGTGCACCACAAGTTACGTATCAATCTTTATCAAATGGTAATTAAATGTATGCTGATACAACAATTTAAACTCAATGATTGTAATTGGATAGTCAATCATATGGTTTAAATTCATTCATTAAAAAGTCTCAATTTTGGAGTTATGTTTATGAATTGCTTATCTTGTTACAAACCCCTATGATTTTTTGAGCTAGTAATTGTATTTTTATTTTCTTATAATGCATTATTAGCATTAGACGATTAATTTGTAGATGCTATCTATTTTAGCTTTCAGAAAGTAAAGGAAAAAAGAAATAATGCAATGGGAAAATCGTTATAAAAATATTCTCTTCGTGTCTTTGTTTGTGCTCATGTATAAGTCTATCTCATGTATAAGGTTATCCCCCCACTTTCCGAAAAGAAAATCAGAAGCCTACTCTACAATTTGCAATACAAGTGCTTTCAGAGAAATCGATAATTTTCTTTTTCAAAATTTTTTCCAGGCATTTAAAAATAAAGAAAACATTTCATTACTAATTTAATAAAACTTTCAAACTGTATCAAAGTTTGTTTCTGAGTCAGGTTCACTGAATGTTTCGTTAATGTCTTTTTCGGTCATTGGCACCAATCATCATCATAAACACCAACCAAACAGCACATTTATTTGTAGTCTCCAGAAAGAAAATAACTTTTAAGTTTAAGCCCAGCACTATAAGACATTTTTTAAAAAATAATTCCGCATGGTATTAGAAAAATGAAACTCAAAAGAAGGAGAGGAAAGAAACACTTGCCGTCGTGTTAAAGTAAGATAAAACTATCTGCAGCAAAGCTGAGGTGGGACACAAAGGATAGAATTTGGAGGATGGAAAGGTGAGAAAAGCTTTCACCACTCTCGCTACAAAACCAGTTCAAACCTGATAGAGGGGGGTAAATATTGTTTGCTCCTGTCTTCTGATGGTTCATTCCATGTCACTTTGTTCTTCAACACTAGAAAATTTTCTGTCTGCCTCTTTGGGGGGAATTTGTTTCTCCGGGAAAAATAAGTTGCTGAAAAAATTTGGGAACTTTCTGACTTTCCACTTTTTATCTTTATTTATTTATTTTTTGTTTATATGCGAGTACATAATATTTTCTTCACAATTTGTAGGTGTATTTATATCAATCTATTTCAGCTTTTTGCATTGCTATTGTTTGATACTAAACCAACCAATGTTATTTCTAATTGCACATGTGAAATAAATGAAAATTACTATTTCCTGAAGTCATTTAGCAAAAGTTATTTCATTGTTTAGGTTGAATAAAAGGCAGAGACAATTTAAATAATGCCTATCCACCTTATTGGAACTGAGCTGTAATTTGAGGAAGGGAATTAAAGTCCAGACAGTATTTATATTTAACAGTTAATTCTATTTATTGTAAAAGAAAGTCTATTACCTTGTACAATTGTTTGGGGAAATTGTTTTTTGTTTATGCTTTCTTACATAAGCACGGAACTTACTTATCTTTCTCGCATAAGTATAGGATCTCTTTATGTTGTTTAAAATTTGCAATGCTATTGTTTATAACGTATAAATAATCTCAAAGATATTGTAGAAAAAGCATGATAAGTTTGATTATCAAAGTATTTTTTAAGGTGTGCAAAATTCAGCTGCTAAAGTAAAATATTTTTGCATGTTTTTAAATGGTTTTTGTTTCTATTTGTTTTTATAGTGTGATGAAATACTTAGTATAGTTATGTGAAGAAAATGTGAAAGAAATTTTTATTGTTTTTTTTTATTCTTCAGCCCTACGTTTGGATTTATGATCCAATACCACTAAGAACATGGATCACTGGTACGCTGATGGGTATGGAATTTTTCTATATATTGGACTATTAAGGATTATTACTGTATATTTTTTAGTATAAGCTAAGAGGTTTAAAGACTTTCATGTGGGATGGAGGTTGGTTTATATTCATATCCCCAGGGTTGCCACTCCACAGGGAGAACAGGGTAAACCTGGAAAATACAGGGAATTTAAGAACAACCTGAAATAACAGGAAATATGCAGGGAATTTTTATTTTTTCTTTACAAACTGGGAAAAATACAGGGAATTAAATTTTTTCCTTCTTATTTTCATCTTTTAAGTGTCAACTCAAAGCATTATGGGATATTTAAGGATGATATTTCAGTTATACTGAACTATTTCATTTACTATAGTATTATTTAAGTATGTTCAGCTGTTCTTTTCTTTCCTCTAAGTTTTTCCCTCAATTTAAATTGGTATAGTTAGCCTAATATAGCTGACACAAGAGCACACTAATTGTGTTTCCTCTTAATATATTGAGTGTTATATGTACAAGAAAAAACAGGGAATTTTTTTCCAGATTTGAGTGGCAAGCTTTATCCACCAATTTTGATAAATTCCAAGAGAACATTACGAACAGAAATACTTCTCATTTTGTTGAACATTACATACAATCAAAGTAATACAATTGAATCACATTATTACGAACCTGAGGTATAATAAACACTTGGTTGTAGCAAACTTTTTTAGTGACCTCATACAAACTCCTACTTTTCTAATGTAATTTTATGTGCCCAGTGGACAGCTGAGAAATCAGTATTTGTTTATTGTGAACTCTAGTTTAACTGATTGCTACTCCACAAGGAGAACAGGGAAAATCTGGAAAATACAGGGAATTTAAAAATCAGCTAAAATAACAGGGAAAATGCAAGGAATTTTGAATTTTTCTTTACAGACGGGGACAAAATAGGGGATTTTATTTCTTATTTTTGTCTTTTAAAAAATGCATACCTCTCAAAGTGCAATGTATGGGATATTTAACGATAGGTGAACTATATTATATTATTTCATTTATTATAGCATTATTTGTTTTGTGTTGAGCTGTTTCTTTTCCCCCCAAGTTTTTCCAGCAACTAAAACTATCGTCTTTATCCTAATATAGTTCACAAGAACGGAGTGAATGTGTGTTTCCTCATAATACATTGTGTATAATATGCACAGGGAAAACACAGGGAATTTTTTTACAGATATCAGTGGCAACCCTGTTTAATTGTCACTGATGTTTCTTTTTCCTCCTTCAATACTTTAACTTAATGCTTGAAAGAGTTACAACAGCAAATACTGTATCTGAAATATTATATCGGAAGTTAAACATAGGAAGATTTGGAGAAGACTTAAAAGAGAATATTGAAGATTGTGAAATACCTGCTACTTCTATCTCAAAAAAGAAACATAATGCGTATAAAATACTCATTTTTTTTTCCATGTAGAATATGGGTCTGAAAATTCTGAATTCTTTACTAATTGTTGAACTCTATTTTGAAATCGAATTGTATTCAAGTGGAAACAACTAAATTCACCAAAAGAATGTAAAAATAAAATCAAGTTTTTGCTATTAAGTAATTGCTTTTTTTTAAATATTTGATTTATTATCTACTTGATTACTTAATAACTTATTAAAAAATTAAGTGCTATAACAATCATTGTTTTCGACAATACTGTCATATACTAAAAATGATCAATGAATTTCAATTTAACCGTTTGTTATAATGGATTTATTGCTAGATTCACTGAAAATTTATTGTTGTGTTATTTGATTATAGTTGGCAAATTCAGCTGCACGGAAATTCCTCTGTATAAAAAAGACAATCTGTTTTGACTTTTTAATTTTGAAATTGAAGCTTTTTATATTTATTAATATTACATTATTTCCTGATATTATCAACAAAAAAAAAAAAGCATAGTGTGAGAGTGAGAAACAAATATGAGAGAGAAAAATATTTTACAGCCATTGAACTCTTATTTAAGTAATTATAATATGACTTGTATATTTTTAAAAATTTATAGTATCTCAGGCATTAATTGATAAAAATTAAATATTTTTTTTAAAAAATCTTGAACCTTTCACTATAACTCTGATTCTAAAGGTTGTTTCTCTATTGATAATCACATTTTCACAGCTGCAATGTTCATATCAATTTTTTAACAATTAGTATTGCAATTAGCATTACAAAAGTAAAATTGTATATGTGAAAAGAGTTTATAAATTGCATTTACAATGGCTGGACATTTAATTAAACATTTAATCTCTGTATTCAATTTCTTGTGATAGGTACCTAGTTATTTTTAGTGGATTTGAGTATTTTAAATCTAGTAATTTATAATTTTGTAAATTTTAATGTTTTCAAATGATGTAATAAATTTGTAGTAAATTTGTGCTCACAAACTAATTGTTCCTGTTGTTTATTATAGTTGTGGCAGCTGTACTTCTATGCCTCTTTCCATTATGGCCTCAAACGATAAGACATTATATTTATTATCTAAGTGTTGCCGCTGCTTGTTTCCTTGTTTTCATTATTGGTTTAGCTGTTTGTAAGTATATTCCCTTTTATAGTCCTTCTATGTACAGTTTTTTTTAAAAGTTTAATTATTTAAAAACACTAGGCGGTGGGAAACCAAGATTATAAAATGTTTTAAAAAAAATCGTTCATACTTAGATCATAACTTCTATTAAATTTTTAAAAAAAATTTAATTTCTTAGTTTAAGTTTCTTTTTTGTTAATTTTGGGGGAGTGGAAATACTCTGAAAGCAGGGTTTAAGCTGAGTTCAAAAGTTCCTGAGAAATAACTTAAATTCAGAAGGGGAAAAAAAGCAATTAGTAAAATTTCATCTTGCGTGTTATGAATTTAATTTAATATATTATTCCAGATGCGTGGATGTGTTTGATTTTCATTTGTAAATTAATTTTAAATTTGAGTTATTCCAAGTGAAAAAAGTAAATGAATAACATGACTAATACAAATTTCTGATATTTAATTTCATTATTAGTTGTACTTGCCAGTTAGAGATAAGTTTAATTTCTAAGAGATTACAAATCTAATCAGGTTTATTGTAGAGGGGATTTGATGAATACTGCATTGAAACTGAATGACTATTTACAATTTAAAGCAGTTTGATCATCTTATCCGTGATTTGTATATTTTTTTCTGTGGATATATTTATTATATTCTGGTATAACTGTCTTACATCAAGCCTTTATTTTGCATTGTCTGAAATATTTCCTAATTACAACTGACCCCTCTCCAACTTTATGTTTTTTTAATAAAAAATGTAATTTGAAAAGTTCATAAGAAGAAAAACAAAAGTGTCTAGATAGTTTGTATTTTTCAAAAAATGTTAGTATTTCAGAAACCCTGCTAGGAAAAAATAAGTCTTCTAGTTGGAAACTATTGAATCTATTTAATTTTTACGTTTAAATTGCATTTTTAGGATAGATTTTTGCACAATTCTTTTTTTTAATTTTTTTATTGTGTCCATGGACATTTAAATGGCCTCGAGTGCCTTCAAAACAGCATCCGCAAGCTCCAATACATCATTACTGTAAAGGATCTCACGAAGTTCTGAAGCCAGTGGCACCATACCCAGTATAGAAACATATGAGGTAAGGGCTGGTCACTCGAGAATGTGATCCGGGGTAAGTTGGACATGGGTGCAGTTCTTGCAGGGAATGTAAGTTCTTATTTCATCGGGAAGCACAATTCTTAATGTTTGTAAAGTTCGGGGGTGCACAATTCGTAATATTTTATAATTCATTTATCATAGATAATTATCATATCTTAATACTAATTTGGGGAAAATCGGGTAATTATTAGTTCAGTAATTTACTATTGGGGAAAAAATGAACTTATTTGAATTCTTAATAACCTTCACAATAAAAGAAGGATGACCGGAACCTTAAAACAACATTTCTTTATGTTACGAGATCGTTTCACTCATTAAACAATAACTCTCACCACATAAGCCATCTCTAGGGGGTGATCAGCCTGCGTAGGGACTGAGGGTGTGTGGTATCAGTCCTCGGTAGATTGTTCTACCGTAAAGTGCTCGACTTCGGGTGCAGGGCGTTGGAATACCAAAGCAGGGGAACCATCCCCTCTGCAGAGGATCAAAATTGCGAGGGCATGTCTTCAACTCATCCCCAGGGATGTTTCCCAGACTGTCACTAATAGCCCATTGTGCATCTCTAGTACAACGTAAATGAAGTATAGTTCGTTCACCAGGAGTTAGCACTTGGCTCCGCCTTCATCATTTCGTTATTTGTGGGAGAAGGATGTGAACAATCCTGAACAAGGTTGTTATTTGGCGATCATATGACAAAAATATTTATTTTGCAATTTTAATGTGCATTTTTCTACATTAACTATTTCATAAATTAAATAATATTTCTTTCTTTTGAGTGAATAGTTTGTCCATTTTGAGACATTTTACTGGGAAAACAGTAGTTTTTCAATTTAAAATATATTTAATTAGCTAGAGTAATGAAAGGTATATTAGCAGATGATAAAGTAATAAATGTAAGTGACTGAAAAAGAGCTCAATGTTTGCATTTGGCGTACATTAAGGGTTGTCACATGTTCAAATGCGGAAATGTTTCTCTTCTTACTCCCGCGCTGAAATTTACTCTGCGTTTGAGGAAGTGGTGCCAAGTTCTGGTGAATGAACTATACCTACCTATGTTAAAATATGTTTAAATCAATTTTATACTTTGATTAGATTATGTTTTCTTTTCTATTACAGTGCGCCTGGTTGTATTTGTCTTGGTGTGGATAGTTACTTTTGGAAAGCACCACTTGTGGCTCTTGCCGAATCTCACCGAAGATGTAGGGTTTTTCGAATCCTTCTGGCCTCTCTATCACTATGAGTATAAAGGTTCTAAAGAAAAAAAAGTTGACACCAAAGAAAAATCTTCCAAAGGAGTGGAGAAGAAAGTTGAAGAAGAAGACAATAACAAAGAAGAGTCTCAGGGGGAGGAGGAAGAAGAAGAAAAGAATAACGAGCATAGTCAGTCAGAATCGGAGAAGAGTGAGGGTGAGGCCCAGAAAACGGACAATGGCTTTGAATTTTTAGAAGCTGAAGAAGGGAGTGCCACAGACGAGCAGGACGAAGATCGCAAGACGAAGTGACCTGGTGACGGACGTTCGATTCATGGCATTTACTCTTGTATTACATTTAGAGGATATTGCTGCAATGTGTCAGATGACTTTTCACTATTTTTATATGCATATATTTAAATGTTTTAAATTATAAAAAAAAATGTGTTTAAAAATTTTTAGGTTAAATGTTTTGATCTGGGAATACAGAATATTGTGTTTTACTTTTATGTTTCTTTGTGTTTCAATAGAACAAAACATTCCAACCAGTGTTGTGTCAACCAAAAGTATTTTTGAATTATAATTAAACACATATTATGAATCTCTGTAGTTGATATTTTACTTGTTTTTAATAATTTAATTACTCTGATTGTTTTCGAAATTTAAAGTAACCCAAATTACTTTCATGGAGTGGGATGGAGAATTTTTTACACACAACTGCTGCAATGTTTATAGTGATGACGTAAAATTATTAAGATGTTTGACATTGTGCATATACAGTGATACTTAGGGCCAGGAGTGCCATTTTGCCAAGAGGTGCCTATGCAAAAATTAAAAAAATATATTGTGCAACATTTATATTTTGTTGTATTATATTGTGCTTATGAAATTAAAACTTGGCTCCAACTTTTTTTTTACTAAACAATGGTGATGGTGTTAGTATGACAGGCTGAATTTAAAGCACATTATGGTTGAAATTCATAATTATCATTTAATGTGCCAAATCACTTTAAACTGCTTTAATCAAACGTTACCAACTAATTATTATTAGTAAAATAGCAAATTATTAGTAAAATTTATTTCTTAGCTAATCAAGATTTAAACCATTTGGATCCTTGAATAAGTTATCATTCAGCTGCATCAGGACAAAAATAACTCAAGAGTATATGATTCAGTTATGTTATTGTAATTGCTTTTACCAAAATCTATAATATGTATGTTTTAATTGAGTATTGAAATAGCAATTAGCATGACTGGAAAAATACGGTTATTTATGTTTTGTGAATCAAAAATTTATTAATGAAATATGAGGACGAAAGATAAAAAAATTAGCACTAGCATTCTATAGTTTTTCTTTTATATGTAACTTATATACACTTTATAGTACCTGTATGCACACAAGTATACTCTATTCTGGAGTGTTATTTAGTTGTTCATCAAAACTAAGGCAGAACAAAAAATTTATTCTCAGCTAAATTAAAAAATTATGAATCATTTTGTGAATCATTTTAGTTATTCGATTTACAACATGAATCAAAGTACATGTATATAACATGCCAGGGGCTGAAGCTTTTCATGTCATTGAGATCTTGATAAATGAAATATTTTTACCCTCAAAATACTTGCTGATCAGAATTCGCATGCGAAAAAAATAGGCAATCACAGGAATTTTTTCCGCTTTTTAGCGGATTTCCGCTTTTTTCACTTTTATCTCTTAAATTTCAGTTTTTTTTTTATCAAAAATTCAGATTTTCTAAAAATTCCCATTTTTTTTATAAGTATTCCGCTTTTACAGAAAATTCACTGATTTTCGAAGAGAAACAGAAAATTCGAACTACATAGCTACCAATTCTTTCTCATTTTTACTTATTTTACCTATTTTCTCCCCTTTTACACGCAGCAGATAAGATTTTCCGAATCTTTTACCCGCCCTCTAGATAGATCCGATTTTCATAGTTCAAACGGCGCTGCTTCTGACAAGCCTTTTAGAGGNTACTATTTAGATGCTCCACACGCATCATTAACTAAATTTTGAAAACGTGATTTCATGTTAAGGCAATTCTTATTGAATGCGGTTCAATCACTTTCGACCACCGTTGAGAATCTGATTGATGAGTTTTTCAAAATTTTCATTAACCAGGAACTCATTCTCCCGTGATAGCTATTGTAGTGAGATTGGCCCTGTAGAGCCTGTTCTTGCTGCATGCGATTTACATATATGCACGTCAGAATGTTTAGAAATGTGTTAAGTCACAGTGGACAGACCATAAAACACGGTTCCCAGTAGATCATGAAAATCCAGCATCACTGGCAGTGATAAGTTCATGAAAAGGTGACCAAGATTGCCTGGTATTGGCCCTTGTAAAACTATTCTACCGTATTGTGCTTGAATTAGCGCAGGTCGTCTGACTACCTAAGCGGGGGTAACATCTCTGCAGAGGACCAAAATTGTGATTGTTTGCCTTCGGATCATCCTCAAGGGTGTTTCCTTGACCGTCCCCAGTAACCCTTTATGCTGCTCTCGAATCATTTATAAATTAAGTTCTACTTACACTGTAAGGCTGTGGTTGCTTGAGTGGTTACAGAATAGAACTCCGGTCCTGAGTTGCAGGGGTTTGATCCTCGACTCGACTAAGACCCTTCGAGTTCATTTGATATACGTGCTCGCAAAATCTGAGAAATTAAAATTTTTGTGCTCGATCGCTGAGAAGTACGATGGGTACCGAGATCTGGAGAAAGTTTCCTTTCCCTTCAGGTTTATTTCTAAATTGAGGAAGTGGCCTCATAGGGCACTTTCCAATATTCGCACTGATTTGCAGCACCGACCTTTCCAATATTACAACTGGTTGCACCGCACCGATCGTTCCTATAAATTGTGGTGCATGTCTTCGGATAATCTTCATGATTGCCATACCGTCGCCAGTAGCCCGTTGTGTAGCTCTAGTGCAAGTACCTACCTATACTTATTCTCACTTAAAAACAAAATGATCTATTTGAAAATATCGCCTCCAGAATAAGCTGTAGTAAGCAGTGTTATACTTTCTAATCGAAAGTGAAGCAGGTCAAGAGCTCCAGATTTTTGTTGTTTACATTTATATCGAGAACACCACCCATGTTCAATATTCACGATTGTAACTCTCGAATACGCCTGGGGAGAAGATCGGTTCATGTCCTGATTTAATTGCAACCATGACGTTTTCTTTAAGAGCTATGTTCATTGTAGTTTTCAGTTCCATATAGTTTTCCAACTTAAAAGTTTTTAATCTGTTTAAAAGTAAAGACTAAAATTGAATGGAGAGCTCTACTTTACGCCATCTATAGCCTATTTCGATTGCCAATATTCAGATTCAAATTAAAAGTTTTGGCTGCGACAGTAAGTTCAGGCAGTAACAAGCTTTGGCTGAACAGAAATAGGTAGATGAAAGCGTATCCCAACATTCAATCACGCAATAATTTGGTGTTGTCTCAAAGAAAAAAAAAACAGAGTTTCCCCCCGGCTCTCTACAGTTTAAATTATTGGAATTTTTTTCTTTTTATTTATTTATTTTTAAACTATATTCGAACTTCAATAGTTTCGACTCTTTGGATTAGCAGCATCAGTATAATTTTTCTTTTCGGCCAACATCCTCCAATCAACTGAGGTATCTCAAAATCTCCTTGAGTGTCTAAAATAAAAATCGAAGTTTAAGAAGTATAATGTGGTTTGCAATCTAAACAGATATAAGGAAATTTGAAGAATGGATAAAACTAAGTAATTATATTTTCCCTGTTTATCATGGTTGACGATTGAGAGTTAATTTCGGATCTGCTTAAACCTGATACAGTTCTGTTTAAACATGTAATATAGTATTATAGTAAAACACCTTTTATACTTTTTTTTCTACCTACTTCGAAGTGTCGTTTCAATTAAGTTAGATTTAACTGAATTATACTAACTGACTCATTTGTAGTTATGTCTAATTAAATTTAATGATCCCATTGTTGATTTCGTTTGGCTAAAGTATACTTAGTTTCCCTTGGGAAGATCTTAATTCTTATTCCCTTTGAATTGTTTTCATTATTTTTTTCAAAATTTCTGATTGGAGAATTTAAATACACTTTTTATGACCAAAGGTCATTTAAAGGGCTTTTTGGTATTTGACATTTCGAAGCTTAGTAGAAGGATGTTCTAATTGATATATTAGGGCAGTGTTTCCCGAAGTCTGGTACTTGTACACCCAGGGGTACGGGAGCAGTTTAGGGGGAGTACGCCTTCTTATACGAAATACCTTCCAACAAACGAAAATTTAAAAAGATTTTATTTAAAAACAAAGCTAGCCATGAAAATTTATGATTACGTATTTTTCTATTGGCTACTTTCTGCAAAGTTAACGGTTAATAATTAGTGGTGTCAACAGCCAATTGTGATTTTTAACTTTTGTGCAATTTTTTTATAGTAAAAAATACATTAATTTTTTTTATTAGTGGTTCACGGCATTACAAAAAATTTAGAAAGGGTACACAAAAGTAATAAGTTTGGGAAGCACTGTATTAGGGAATTTAGTCCTGTGGTAGAATTTTTTCGGGCTTTTTGCGACATATTTCTTTAATACTAATATCTTTCAGCTAGATATTTAACAATAACAAATATAAAAACTTTAAAAAAAATTAAATTAATTAAATAAATAAATAAAAATTGAATCAAAAAAAATTTTTTTTTAAAATTGAATATGTGATTTTTTAAATTCTAATATGGGTGGTATTTTTGCATTTTGTAGAAAGATAACATACTAATTATTTCCTTTTTTAGCATTTTATAATTCATCATCAGATTAAAAAAATAAAATCTGTAGCAGTAACTGCCGATAAAAAAGATAGACTGCGAAATTACACGAATCATACTCTTCAAAAAAGGGTTACTAAATGCCTGATTTCATTTCGAGATTTAATTGTTGTGATAAATAATGTCGAATTTTAAAAGCTATGTGGAGATCAGTAGTAATAACTGCATGAAAAATTGGAACTAAAATTTCCACAGAAAATAAAACTAAAATTTTTGTACTTCATTATTCTTTAGTTTTCATTATTCTCCAATAAGAATAGACATGGTGCGTAGTGTTTTTAAAAAGTGCTTAAAGGTGCTTATTTTCGATTTTCATTTTTTAAAAGCCCTTTAAAGGTGCTTTTTTCATTGGGTGTTTTTAATATGTGCTTCCTTTTTGAAAATGATATTTTCTTCTTTACCATGTCTATTTTCGCCATGTATTATGCAAGAGCGTGCTTTTCACAGTGCTCTATTCAACGTATATACAATTAATTCAAACCCTATCAATCTACTTCGGCGTATTGTCAGTCCGTAGCATATGAAATGAAATGGGGCTATATATTGCTACAAAAAGAATTATGTATCTAAATAATTATTTTTTTTCAATTTTGAAACTATTATGGATGGTGTTTTCTACACTAAAGAGCGCTGCAATCTGTTGACTGCCCATACTTCCGGGCTACTGTTCTTTGTGTGCTTTGAAGCCTTTCGGCCCAAAACATGATCACTGTATTTTGAGATGATCTCTTAAGTAGTATTTCTTACATACGTGTATGAAAACATGCAAAAGAGATAATATTA